CCAACCAAACTAATAACATCCAACAAATGATATATGACAAAATTATATATATGATTGTCATACTTTTTGAATATATATATATATATATATATATATATATATGTATATATATATATAGTAGGGATCATATGAGAAAGGAGAATAATGAAAGAAATGAGAACGATAATACACCGTTGGATCGTCCAGATTAAAGGTTGAGATTAGCTGGACTCAAGTTGACCACGCGGTGGCATGGGCGTAATTACAGTCCAAGTATACGCCCAGTTTTGGAGGTGAAAGGGCATTCTCGTCATTCACATTACAACCTAGGGTAAAACAGGTTCAGACACATTAATTGCCTTCATTAAGATCGCGCCCGTCTTGGAAGAGATTTTCGCAGATCTCGCCATTGTTTAGTGATTTTGTGAGCTAATTTCATCTCTCTTTCTTATGTTAGTGAGCGATTCTTCAAATATTGATCATTAATGAGCTGATTCCATCCCTTTGAAGGAAGGATGACGCAGAGCTCGTGAGAAGTAACGTGAGTTCGGGTAGATTAAAAAAAAAAAAAACGGATGTTTCTCCATAATCAAAGAACCCAGGTAATGCTATAGTCAATTTTATCTCAAGTTCTAAGGTTGTCTAGAACAAAATTGCTCAGTTTATGCTAATGGTAAATAAAAAAAATTAAAAAAAAAATGAAAATGAAAATACCCAACGAGAAATAGGGTTCATCTGATTTTGTAATTCAGTGAATAGAAATTATCACTTAGTACGTTTTATTTTTTTACCTATTTTTTATATATATGTTTCGCATTTATTACTAGATTTTACATGAATTGGTGCATGTTTGTATTCAACTTCAGTGAATATATGTGTTGTACCCTGTTTTCTGATAGTATTTTTTAGGGAAATGGATATATGTTTGAATTGGTATATGATTTGTACCCTGTTTCAGTGAATACATTCAATATTGGGGCTGATATTATGTTGGTTGTGTAAGATATTCTATGCGTATGTGCGTTTTTAGTCGGACCTTGTTATTTTGCAGATAAACGTGCTGATATAGGCCTGACGGACGAACCGCCTGGTGGTCGGAATGAATCTCAACCAATACCTGCAGCATCACAGAATGTCAAACGTGTCGAAGATTGCGTGAACCGTGGAAAATCAGTTGTGGACACGAACATTGATGATTTTGTTGATGACCACTTTAATTTGAGACGTGCTAAGATCATGGCATCACAAAATGGTATATTTATTTATTTTAGCTAAGTGATGGTGTGCAATATCGGTCAACCATAGACCTCCAGTTACTGGATCTAATCCTCCACGAAAAGTAAGAAATTCCGCATATTTTGACCAAACTCGGCCAAGCTTCTGCTCGGTAGCTTCTTCCATCACGACCTTTGTCATTCAAAATCTTCACTAGGCATTTACCAAAGGGATTTCAGTAATGGTACCAAGATCAATCGATGTATATACAACCATTGTCCTCGAAGTAAATGAAGTTGTACCCATTCAAAATTGGCATTGAACCCCATTGCGAGTCGGGTTCCACATACTTCTCACCCATGATAATCAAAATATAATGGGAGAGAGAAAATTACTTTTGAAACAAGCACTCGAAGAATAAATATTTTTTATTTGTTGTAATATTTTGATCATTGACAAGAAAAAATTGTGTGATTACTAGGTTGAGGCAAGTTATTCTTTAATAAACCGTTTAACTTAAAAATATTGTATTCAATGAAGCTCATATTGCTCAGTACATTGCTCGTTTAATTACACGTGTTGAATGATTATAATATTGGTAAAAGAATAGTTTCTTTTGAGAATGGTATGTCTAAAATTGTTTTGTATGATCTTATGCATTTTTTCGTCCTCTTTTGTGGTGTTAATTATTTTCATATACGATGTGTTTATCATGTTCTTAATATTTGTGTTCAACCAGCGGGTCTTCAAGTTTTGAAAGATGCATCTGCACCAAGTAGGGAGGCCATTATATTTTTCCTTCGGCATCCCAAATAATTGAAACAAATTAGCAAGACATTATAGAAGTTTGAAATTGCACCAAAATATTTACGTCAGACGTTTCTATCCGATGGAACTTAACTTACATAGTATTAGTAGAAACCTATGAGTGTCCTCTTTTAATTGATTTCATAATTATTTATGAAAGTACTTGGGATAAATGTCAAAGTCTTATGATTATTTTGAAATAATTTAAAATGTAACTGAAATTCTATCAGTGTCTACTATCCTACTGCCCCGTTATTTTAGGGATTTTTCTCCGCTCACTTTCGTATATAGCAGACCTACCAGTCTTGGAGTTTGACCTAGATTTGTCACACTCTTACGAAAAACTAAAATTGAATCTTGGGCCTTTTTTATGGCTCTATTACATAATTACTACACTTAATGATGGCAATTTGACACGAACCAACCTTGAACCGGTCTGCCTAAAGCTTATGTGGTGGGTCCAATCCCCATTTCCAAAATGGGTAAGTTCGGGTCCGACTCTTCTTTGGAAAGAAGTATGTTCGGGTGCTTGAAATCTCCCTGCCCTCATATAGTATAACTTTAAATTTTTTACTTACATATATTGTGAAAAAGGTGGAAGTGGAGCTCACTGGGATAAAAAATTGAGAGGAACACGAAAAAATTAGGATGACAGTCACTTGGTCCCCAAAAATGGTAAGGTTGTCTGGTTCATTGGCCTACGCTTCTAAATAAACACGGGGTGGGTCAGTCTGCCCTAACACGGGGCCAGGTCCCGGGACAAACCTAATAGCGGGTCACAGGGCTGGGCGGGGCTTCAGCCAAGAGTCGTGGGGCATGTCCGGGTGCCAATCATGTCCCATTCTCATTCCTAACTTCACTTTTGAAAAAAAAAGAATAAAAAGTAATAAAATATGACATTAAAAAATAAAAACAAATGATGTTAGTAAACCATGACTCAACTATTTATAAACCATAAAATTAGTATATTTTTAGTTAAAAAAAACAATAACTATGTACATGTTAATATTTTTAAGAAAATGAAATCATTTACCTTCAAATCTCATTTTATTTTTATAACTATGAAGTTTTTATTTTAATTGCAAATATACTAATTATTACAATTTATATTTTGCTTATGTGTGGTTATTTTAAATCAATTATTAAATTGAATTATCTTTAGTTTGTAACTAGTTTGTAATAGCTTATACATTTTATTCTTTTATAGCAAAGGATTCGGATCAAATCTTATTACAATGGGCCGCGAAAAAACGTGAACAAACTTATGAATCGGGCTTCTCCGCAGACCTGTTTTAGCCCAAGACACAATACAGCCCAAAAACGATAAATAAAAGAGGAAATTACACCCCATACATTATATTATAATAAATATTACACTTTTACACTAATTAATTTTTTATTTATAAAATTACTGAAACAAGCACAAAATATTGCACTTATGCCTAAGATGTTGATTTAAGAAAAGGTAACCGTTTTTTAAGCAATTATCATGCCTAATTAAATGCAATTGGGATAAGAAAGATAAATCAAATATTTACTACAAAAAAAGACGGAACATCTCTCTCTCTCTCTCTCTCTCTCTCTCTCTCTCTCTTCTATGATCTCTCTCTCTCTTTCTCTCTCTCTCTCTTCAGAAAGCACCCACTGCCCACGTTTCCCTCTCTGTGCAAAAAAATAATCATCTTCAATGGTCAAAAAAAGCTACAAATTGCTCGAAAAAAAACCGACGAACGGTGAAGGAAACTGTCTTCAACGGCGAAGACCAAACTACAAAATCAGTATATGTTATGCATCAATGAATCATCGGCTAAGATGTCGTGGCGGTCGCGGACAGCCGGGATGGAGGAGGCGGATGTGTAGGAGGGTGCTGACGCCGGAGACGGTGAAGGAAGACCGAGATTACTAGAATTCGTGGTTGAAGAAGATGATTTCTGGGCTGGCCCTGCCGACGGAGGAGTTGTTGGATCGGGAGGTGGAAGAGAGGAGAATTCAGATCTTAGGGCGGGGAGGGAGTATATTTCTGAGAAGTTGTTGGATCGGGAGGTTGAAGAAGATGATTTCTGAGATTTTTTTTTTTTCATTTCATTTATTTTGGAGTATATGTACAGTATATCTTCGGTATATGTTCCTTATATGTATGATTTATATTTCGTATGTCTTCGGTATATGTATGGTTTATATTCAGTAAAATCATGGGAAACATATACAATACATATACCATCATTACAGTTTGTTTGGTGATAGACAAATCCCTAATTGTTATAATATCAAAGTGTCTATTTGCTGCTTTTTTTGAAATGTTTTTTCTATCTTGTGTTCACCGTGAATTGGTATATTTGTTATGTTTTATGATAGAATATAACGGTTATATATATGGTATATATGTTAGGGTTACATGCTTGGTTACAGAAACATTGTTCAGTTCTGGTATATGTCCAGTATATATGTGGGGTTACATGTCTGGTTACATAACATTGTTCTGTTCTGGTATATTTCTTGTATATATGTAGGGTTATATGTCTGATTACATAACATTGTATTGTTATTGTAAAACTACCTCAAAATATCACGAAAATATACCTCCCAAATCTTTCCAGTGCAATTTTTTTCTCGCTCTCCAGTGTTTTTTTAAGCCGCCGCATGTTTTTTTTTTTTTTACCGATAAACGGAGATCGTGTATCACAAAATATAATATCTTTTCCATATTTGAAAACTGATATTGTACCCCTAAAATTATGGAAGCTGTTCAGCATCCACGTGACGGTTTTTTAGGCATGCTTATAAATACTTTTTATATATTAGGTATATAAACAATTTTTTTTTGTTTGGATGGTAATTTTGTAATTACTTAAAAATCTGTAAGTAGAAGTAAAAATCTCCCAAAATAAAACTGTTATTAGGGCTCCGAACTGCTCAGCTGTCGCCACGCCGCTCGTCACTACCCATCGGCCATAACTCGCTCGTCAACTTCACTCCATCGCCAAACCTCTCAGCGAAAAATGGGTAAGAGATAGAACTACACAGATAAAGATTATGTCAATTTCAGCTCAGATATATGGACTAATCGTTGTACCTTCCGTACTGATTGTTGTACTTTTCTTTGCAGCTCGGATTAAGGTGCACGAGCTCCGGCAAAAGAGCAAGGCGGATCTGCTGCAGCAGCTGAAGGAGCTCAAGGCGGAGCTCTCACTGCTGCGCGTGGCGAAGGTCACCGGCGGCGCCCCCAACAAGCTGTCGAAGATCAAGGTGGTCCGGCTGTCGATTGCGCAGGTGCTCACCGTCATCGCGCAGAAGCAGAAGGCCGCGCTGAGGGAGGCGTACAAGAACAAGAAGTATCTGCCGCTCGATCTCCGTCCTAAGAAGACCCGCGCCATCCGCCGTCGCCTCACCAAGCACCAGGTACACTACGTACTTGTTATTTTATAGGAGAATTTATGATTACTTTTTCGAGTTCTGAAATTTGATTCATTTTTTTTAATCTGTGAACTCTTTTGTGCACCGGCTGTTTGCTTGTGTGTGTGTGTGTGTCTATGTATATGTATATATGTGTAAATGTAGAATGTTGTTTTTGTGAAGCTGCTGAAAATTATTTGTGGCTTGTGTATTGTGATCAGTTTCATATTCAAGTATGGTGTTGCACTTAAAATGTTTGTTCAAGTTCTATAAGACTGATTATGTGATCATTGCTTCACTTCAGTGCTTGAACTTGACTGATCTAAAGCTATCGACTACATTGCCTTCTCCCGTGTGAGCAAACTTGAACAAATCCTATAGCAAGCTATCATAGAGCCATTAGGGTTCCTTAAACATTTTCTTTCCGAAAAAATTGTCAAGCCCAAGGCGATTTTTAATTCACCATGTAAATTTCTTTTCTTTTGTCTTTGCATTTCTCATCATTATATTATAAAAATTTTGTCAGTTTTATACTTTATCCCACAAGTATTCTCCTAGGTCTTCCGCTATGTGCATCATGCAAGCTAAAGTTGCCTTTTGTATCTATTTTACTACACATTCACAACCCTAATTACGTTAACATATTGTAAATTTATTTGCAATAGAATTAGTTCGTTCGTATAATTTCATTTGGAATAGAATTGTTTTTACAGCTTGAGTTACTTGTTGCACGGATGTGAACTGCACTTACTTTTATTGGTGGGTAAAAAGAAAGATCAAATATGAGTTTGGACAACGTAATTCTACTACTATTTTAAAATTAGATGAAGGTGTTTTATCTTTGTCTTGTTCCACAAAACAGTTTCTGAAGTTCATGCTAATCTCCTGATGTTCACTTTCGTCATTTGGCATAAAAAGAGGCATTGATGAATCTAGCATCTTGGTTTTGATTTAGCTTTTACTACCGTTTTCAGGCATCATTGAAAACAGAGAAGCAGAAAAAGAAAGAAATGTACTTCCCGCTTAGGAAGTATGCTATTAAGGTCTAAGTTTTGTTGGAAGTGAAATCTTGAAGGATATTCATATTTCACATCAATTTCATCATTTGATTCTGAGGCTAAACACGGAACTATTGGTCTTTGTAACTAGCAATCGAATTTTGTTCTCTTTATGTTTTCAGACATGCATTTGTGACGTGGAGCTATTCATGAACCAGATTGCTGAATGCATCTTAGTTTTGTTTGTTCTACCAATAATAGTCTCATAAAGTACGTTCAACAAGCTCCAGAAATCGTAATCACTAGGCTGTTCTAGTACCCAATGAGGGTACAAATGAAGCTATGAGGTTTGTTGTTCATGAGGTGATTAAGTGGATATTTAACCAAAATTTAGGTTTGTTTCTTAATCGAACAACAAAAGCTTTTGTACAGTGCTGTTTCTCATCATTTATTTGAGATATCTCGGATAAGAATATAACTACTTTTTCATAGCTTGGGTACAGTGCAGTTTCTCATCATTTAATTCAGATATATTGGATAAGGAAATAAGAGTTAATCTACTTTGTCATGGCTTGGGTACATTGCAGTTAATCATTTATTTGAGTTAGTTTAGCGCGTTACTAAACAGCGCTCTCCTTTTTTTTTTTTTT